CATGATATCGCACCGACATAAGACCGCATGACAAGTGATCTCTGTTGGTATGTACTGCATATTCATGCCAGCTATGGCCGCCACTGGCAGCCGCACGCGTACTGAATCACACACAATTAATTGGATTACCGTATACCGAGCACTTTTATTCTCGCTGCAGTGCAAGCCCATTATCTCGTCCGACGGATCCTCATCGTTCTATAAAGCTCGCCGCACGAGACACTGATCATATTGCATGGTCATGATCGTGTTCAGGGTGCCCGCTCGCGGACTCATGCAGTCATTTTCAAATTTACAAACTAGCTAGTATCACCACATAGTGAGTGACCATCATTTAGTACGTATGCACTAGAAAACGCGTTGATGATAACTTGCACTGAATGATATCACATTCACATGCGTTCGATGCTAACTGAGTATATTAGGCCGCCCATATCATTGCTTACTAAGGTCCGGTTGATTGAGTAGCCTGTACTGTGGACGTTGGCAGAGCGCTTTAGAAACCATGATGTCTTAGCGCAATTATAAGCCTGTCGCTTACCAATAAACTCCTCCAAAGTGGCTGCCTGCGTTCCTGGTGATGGTCATTCTACTTCCGAAACTGTTATAAAAAGGATACATACATTTTGCACTCTAGAGCTCAGCCCTGCTAGTTCCAAATGTCAATCTGATGTCTCTGTACGACATGCTCTGCAAAAAAGTCTTCAAACCCTCACACGAATCCTGCACGCACCTTTCGAGGATCCAAGACGTCAGTGCTCCGACTATTCCGACCTAGCGAGTGGGGCGCACGGAAACAACAGTGAGTGGGACAACGTGTCTCAAATCCTCACACGTAACTCTTGCCAAGTGACTCACAACCGATGTTTCGACTACTTTCCATGCTCGTCAATTGCATACTCCTTGCTGGAAGTTAAACGTTCCCAAAGCTCAGTTTTAAGTGCTTTCACCCACTCCGTGTGTCCAATGTTGCCACCGAAACGCAAAGCTTCGTGGTTTAGTGCCAAGTTCCAATGGCTTCAAAGTCCCTGCCGGCACATGGTTGGCGCCATTCACGTCCAGAAACGTCCCAGGTGTGGGCTGTGTGCAACCGACGGTAATGTCAGTCTGCCGGCACCCGGTAGATAGGCTCGGCTAGTGCCATGTGGCGATTTATCCTGCACAATGGTGGACAACAATGATTAAACACGAAATCCTATATGCCACGAAGCATGCTAATTGAGCAAAAAGCACCCCCCGTCTTAAGAAAGAAGAGATGGCTAATGCAAACCTCTAAGAGACCGCCCTGGAAAGACCTTAACCCTCACAACAAGTGAACCAAAACGGCAATAAACTTTCAAGGGCAAAGACGATCACCAGCATGCTTCTTTGAAGCACATGAAAGCAGGAAGCTACCAAGACTCTGCTTGTCAAAAACGTTACGTCCAGATGGTTGAACCAACTGACAGGCCTCTAAAAAGGGTTCGAGAACTGGCGGGTGAAAAACCCTTTCATCAACATTCAGAAAATTCAGAGAATCTGCTTCTGATTTTCAGGTCGGGTCTAGTTAAGCAGCTCGCTCACGTCAGTCAGCGCCGACGGCCTTCAGGGTACGAACGGGTTCCGGGTCTCATATGCAGACGGGGGGTACATCTGGCCGGCCACCTTCTTCTCCTCCGGCAGCTGCTGACCCCCCCACTCCGAAACCGGGCTCGCACTCCGGCCCCAGATGCTTGGCTCGCCGACCGCGTACTCCCCCCTGAAATGCTCCGGTTTGTTCAGCGGTCCTCCAATAGCAGCATGGGGCAGAGTGTGCGTGTACCCATCGAGCCACTTGTAATCGTCGAGAGGGGTTGTTTCTAGCGGGTTCTGCGGGGGGGCGGAAACGCGGTTGGCGGTAAAAGGAGAGTTCGGGCGCTGGTTGGTGGGCGGACCAAAACCGGGGGGCGGGCGGATTGTGCTGGGCTGCCCAAACCCGGGAGGGGGGATCCGGGTGGGCCCCGCCAACCCCCCTGCGGGGGCGGAACTTGTTCCGCTACTGAACGAGGGGCCAAGAGCCTGGAAAGTCTCTGACCGGTTGGGAACGGGGGGGCTTGCAAACAGCGACGAAGCTGCGAGTCCCGGTTCGTCTGATGGCACCAGTTTCGGCAGGGGGATCGTGACGCGCGCCTCTTGGAAGGTGGGGCCTTGTGCGGTCACGCTCAAACCCTGATTAGAGGTAGTGTTAGCCCCAGAAAAACCGCTCTGGTGAGGCGCGCTGAATCCAAGACCGCCAAAAAGACTGCTGCTTTGAGGGGGGTGGGACCAAGGGGAAAGAGAGGCCCCCCAATGCTGATATCCCGGGCCGTTTTGGTGCTGAGCTGGCGCGCCGTGATTGGTCAGGCCCTGTTGCTGCTGGAGAAGGTAGTTGTAGTACTGTTGCTGGGCGGACGGGGCCTCAAAGCTCGCAGGGGGGTAGACAGCGGGGGCAAGCGAACCCCCTGGACGGAGTGTGGTGCTTGCGGGGGAGTATCCTCCCTGGAGAGGAGAAGCCCCCGGAAAGGAGTTGCCCTGCAGTTGCTGCTGAAGCTCGTACAACTGCTTGAGCTGGTCGTACCCCCGCGCTTGGACTGCGGGGTCGAGCGCTTTCGACGCATCGGCGGCCTCTTTCAGCAGGTCGTTCGTCACTGCCTCCACGTCAGCTTTTGCTTTCTCGTGCGAGCTCGGACCACGGTGAAGAAGCCCGAAGTCGACGGGGTTCACGGCGTCCACTCGTTTCGCGCCACCTGGCATCCACTGGTTGAAGCTGAACGCACTGCTGCCGACGATGGGGTCGGAGGTGCTTGGGAGGCCTTGTTTTGGTGCCAGGTCGAGGTTTGGGAGCAGTGACTGGGGGCCGTTGTTGGATTGGACGGGGCCCTGGTTCTGGCCGTCAGGTCGGGGGCTCTGACTCTGTGGAATGAAAAATGCAACGGTCAGAAAAGGACGAAAGAAAGTACCGGTCGCGGAAGGAACGACAACGGACGGGGTTCAGCAGAGCTGACCTGAAACAACAAAGAATGCAGCGGTAGTCTAACTTTCTGACTGGACGACTAGAATCTTTCTGTCAGACTAGAACCGAAGAGTTTCTCGACATCGAAAAAGCCAAAGGGGGTCAAAAACGAGGTCTGAAGCTTAGGGCTCGTCACGCCTTGTCTTTGCCCAACGAGCTTCAAGCTCGTTTACAACAGCTCCTGATCGGGAAACCAGGCATTCTAAAAAGACCCTTTTCAAGCGAACGTGATGGGCCCAGAAAACAGCTGCACTGGTTCATCTACAACAACCTAGCGTGCATCTTTCAAGACGGCTGAGGAGAGGAACGAGAGGAGAGCGTACCAACACAAGAGCCACATGCACGAGCCATAGACAATAAACCAAGCTTGGTAGGATGCAAATCAGCTGGACAGAATCCTATTTGGAATCCGGAGGTGGTGGCGCAAGGGACAAGGTTGATGAGTGCCTCGCGTAGACGTAAGCAGACCTTTTGACGCCAGGAAAGGTGATCCACAGACTCTCCCAAACCCAGCTTTCTCATTTACAACAGATGGCTGACCAGGTGAAAATTGCAAACTCCTTACAAGAGGCACTTTACGAACTCTTACATGCATGGGGCTGCCAGTAAGGGGACTTGGCTGCGACCCGCCCCTCCTCATCGGTTGGAACACAATCTCCTCTTCGTCCTCGTCCAAGCTCTCCTCAGTCTGCTTGACCCCCTCCTTGACCCCCTCCTTGCCCCCGTCCTTAACTGCCCTTTTTGCCGCCAGCTGTGCCCGGAAAACTCGCTCGGCCTCAACCGCCAGCTCATCCCGAGCGGACCCTTTGAGCTTCCCCGCCTGCTGCGCCCTTTGAAACAGTTCTTTCTTCGCCGCCTCTAGTTCGTCCTTCCCGCTGCTCACCAGACCCAGATCTTCCTCCTCAGTTTCGGCATCTGCTATTCGCTCGTCCGAACCCTGTCCGAATCCTGCCAAGACCGCCAGGTTTGCGCCTGCACTCTGGCCGAATACCCCCACATCCGGTAATTCCGTGTGTGCAGGCAAAGCGTTCACTAATGACCCTAGCAGCGCGCTTCCAATTGGCCCTATCCCACCAGCAGAAGGGTCCAAACCCACCATGGTCTCCTCCAAACCCTGCCCCAAACCCACGTTTTGCAAACCCAGTCCCTGCCCGAAACCGACCCCCAACTCGCTCACTCCCCCCCTCTCCAAGACCTTCAGATCCTCGGGGCGACGCTCCGACACACCCCGACTAAACTGGAACAGCCCCAGTTCCTCGCTGAACCGCAGCCCCTCTGCGCGCACGTCTGCCAGGCACGCCGCAAGATTCTTCCCCGCCTCGAGAACGCGGCGCCCCCTCGACACCGCCTGCTGCGCGTTTGCAACGTCCAAAACGGGGGCGGGCTTCGAGAAGTCGAGCGCCCGGTGCGCGCTCGCCAAGGGCTCGAACCCCCGCAGCTCGTAATCCTCCCATAGAGCATTGCTCTCGCTCCTCCCACGAGCCACGTCAGTGACCCCCTGAGTGACGTCATTCAGCAGCCCGCTGACCTCGCGCCAGAAGAACGAGCGCGCGCGCCCCTGGCGGTCACCGACTTCCCCCTCGCCGGCTGCCACTTTCGGGTTAACCACTAACCACTCCAGGAGGACGAGCACGCTCGGGAGGAGCAGGTTAGCGGTCGGGTTAGCCCCTAACCCGCAGCGGTGTGCAAAACGCCCGGCGAGCTCAAAGAGGGCGGTGAGGGCGTGTTGCGCGAGGGCGGAGCTCTGAATGATCTCAGAGTAGGACGGCTTGTGGCCTTCGGGGACCCAGCTCAGGTTGTGGACTGTGAAGACGGCGATCACCATAACCTGCAGAAAAACGTTAAAAGTCGGGTTAAGATTTGCTGAGAATCCTTTGATAGCTCAGGAAAAACAAACGACTTTGAAGGAGAACGGCTTGTGGCCCTCGGGGACCCAACTCTGGTTGTAGACTGCGAATTTGCCAACCATAGCAGCCGCTAGCATAATCCAATACGCAACGAGATCTGAATGCTTTTGGAGGCGAACAGCTTCTAACCATCGGAAGCATGATCCAAGGTGAAGATGGCAGCTTAATGACCTGCGAAGAAGCGCGTAGCAGGGGAGATGGGTTGCAAAATTGGTCGGAGGGCATCGACTGGATTAGGACCAATGGAAACTCGGCTTTGTTCGAGAACAGTAAAGATAACGCTGTGAAGGAAATTGAGGGGCAAAAGATGGTCAGGAAAATGGCCTCACCTGCAGCAGTCCCGCAGCACCAAGGCTCCCTAAAGCAATCCCGCTCCGGCGCTCCGCCGCAAGCCCCGCATCGAGTGCCACGTCATCAGCCTCGAAGAGGGCGTCCAAGTCGGACATCGTCGCAGTGTACACGTCCGAAAAGGTTTCAACACTGGTCTTCGTGAAAACGATGCCGTTCAAACGGACGAATGGCGTCTGGAAGCTGAGGCGGAGCTTGGAGATGGTGTCGTCGTCGTGGGGGGGCGCGTCTGAGACTTGCTTGGCGGAGGCCTTTGAGGAGGGTGCCAGTTGGGCATACTTGGCGCGGTTCTGTGAAGAGGGGAAAGAAATAAGCGCGATGAATTGAGGGGTGTGCAACATCTGGGTAAGTACAAGGCTCCACGAGACAGAAAAGTACGAACCTGTGGTAAAAGTATGCCATCCTGGCGGCTTACGCCTTGGTATCCTACCAAAGCACTGATGCCCCGTCTTCCTAAATGGTAGCCTTTATAGATTGGCGTCGAACGATGCCTCGCTTGTCCCGGGACGGTTTGAATAAGCGTGCTCCTGAGATGTCACTATCAACGGCTTACCTTCTCAAAGAGCATGAGCAGATTGTCCCTGGCGGTCAGGAAGGGCACCTCGACGGCAAGGCTCCGATAGTAGCGGTAAACCGCTAGCAGCTCGTCGTCGACATACGTGGCAAGCACGGCAAGCTGCAAAAGCGAAAGATGCATTTACTCAAGGGGACGACGGCAAAATGAAAGCCGGACAGAAGTCCTGATTGAGGAACACCACGAAGGGCACTTGGCCTGCTTTGAAGGATGATCTCATCAGATTGCTTACGGAGAAGAAAGGAAAGGGCTAAGTGGCCGGAGATTGGGCAACTAAGAAACCAAACATAAAACTGCAACAGTCCCAGCAACGCGCTTGCTCGGGAACCTACAGGCTGCACGCCAGATTCAATCAAGAACTGCGCAGGCGTGACCTCGACTTACCATCTCAGCACTTCAGAACATAAGATAAACAGCAAAAGACTGCTCACCTGGTTGTGCGGGTTCCCGCTCGCCGGCCAGAGCGCTGCGGCTTGCAGGTAGTAGTTAGCCACAATTGCCCAGTCCTTGACCTTGCTATCCGAGTGCAGCTCCTTGTAGCGTGCCAGATCGCCCAGGTAGATAAGGCAGCGGTGGCAGGATGCCTGCACGGAAAGCCAACAACCCAGATTAAAGTGGGCTCGGATTTTAAAGCTCGGGAAATGCAGTCAGTGAGTCTGAGCCTTGTTCGAACGGACCAGATCAAAAGTTTGGCTAATGTGGACTTCCCGCACCATAGATGGTTTGAAGAGGACGTTACGTCCTACCTCCACTTTAAAGCACAAAAAGCAACGTTTTCAGTCAGGAACAACAGCCCTCATTCGATCAGCAGCTTTGAACTTGGTTGACTAAACTTGAGAGCAACGCGCAGGGTCAGCTCGTTTCTTGAGGCACCTGATGTACATAGCTTGGACGCGAGAGGCACTGCTTGATATGGCACAAGACCCCAGCCCCTCAGGTGGTGCTGCTTAGCAGCACACTGCATAGGGGCAGGTTGCAAAAATGGAAGTAGGATGCTACCAGCTCCCTTCACACCGACAGAGGGGAGAAAGCAACCCAAGATCCATACAAGCGCCAGAACAAACTTGATGTTCTGGCCCGACATATGCGAAACGAAATTAGCATGACGAACCTAGCTACTTGGACTATAAACCTGCACAATTATTCCAACTCACCTGGCACAACCGGAGCTTGTCCGGCCCCAGCTTCGCGGCCACATCCTCCGGCACATTTGGGGAAAAGTCCTGCGGCAGTCCGTACAGGGCCCTCAGCTTGAACACCAGCTCGTGGTAAAATCCCGTGGCGTCACCCAGGAATCCCCGGAACCCCGCGAGGGCCTTGTGCAGCGCTTCCTTTGCGGCGCCCGGTTTGGCTCCCCCGGGCGGAAGGGGCAGCCCTGTGCCAGCTTGGGAGGTGCCCGGTTTGGCGCCCCGGGGAGGCCCTGTCGCGGCCTGGGAGTACTTCCGGATCCTGCCGCGGAAGTCCTCGATGCGGCGGTAGATGCCCCGCCACAGGGCCTGCTCGACATCATGCTCGACAGCGAAGGCATGGTCGGTGAGGAGGATCTCTTGGTACAGGGAGCGGAGGGTGGTCAGGAGGGAGTATGCGGTGCCGTCGGAGAAGCCCTTGGACTGAAGGGTCGTGCGTAACTGTTGCTCTAGCTTTTGGGCCTGCAGGAGGCATAGAAGAGATAGTCATTGACCGCATAAAGGCTGAATTCCACTACTCAAACAAGCGGTCACGGTATTTCACCAGGAATGTGCCCTCAGAAACGTGTTGACCTTGTCAGGATGAGGCCCTTACTGAGGTACTGCCGTTACAAGCAACTGCTAAATATTGCTCATGACCACAATCGTGAGTGTCGGTTGCAAGCAGAGAGTAAATCTTTGAGCACAGCTACTCCAGAAAGCGAAGGAAGTTCTCCACTCGGAGAATTTTGCTCAGCTCTGAACCTTTCAGGCCCCGGCAATTGACACCGAGTCAAGAACAAAGTGACTGTAGGAGAAAAATAACAACTGTGTTCGGGTTCCTTCCAAAGATTGTGCATCACAAGAAGCAGCGCCACTGTCTGAACAAAGTAACTCAGATCCACCGGGTTAAAACACGGCAGGTGAAGCTTTGAACTGCGGTCCTGCTCGGCGACAACGCATACTGGGGGGAGGGACTCTTTTTCAAGCAACATATCAGAGTCCCAAGTGCTGGCAGATGTTCCAATCAAAACCCTGCATGACGAGCGCATGCTGCAGCAGGACCTTTTAGCTTTTCTCATCAACTAAACGTCCAGGCCGGGCGTTGCTTCAACGAGAAATTCCATTTCCGAACCGGGTCCATGAGAGCACAGAGCAGAAACAGGAGCACTGCACTTACCTTCTTAAGAAGCGCCTCGGCTGAAGCGCGAGAGTCGCGCTCACCGCTTTGACTCATATTCCATGGTCAATTGCAAGGTGAACAAGAGCAGGTCCTGATACTTCTCTTCCTACACAAAGAAGTGAACACAACCATCAGCACGGTTATGCAAGATATTATTGGTGAGCCTATGGAAGAGCGCGCCTCTGAGAGACAGAATATCATGGTTATAGCAAAACGTTCTGGAACAACTTCCCAGCTTTCTGCACTGCTTCAAGGAGCAATAAAGCAACTTCACGCTTCGCAACAAAGCCACTTCAAGCTTGGCGAGACACTTGATTTGACAGGAGAGACCCAAGTCCACCGATTTGCACGACGAACTCGGACCAAATGCAAAACCGTCCCTCTCTGAGACTCTGCCGTGCAGTTCCAAGAGCCTTGAAGCAATGTTGCATCTTCAGCACCAATCGAGAACTGCAACCTATCGTACTTTAAAAAGATGCGACAAATGCCAATCACCACTTGTATACATCTGCAAGCTACTGGGAACTTCAAAGCCTTCAAACTTTGACTCTCGCCAGGGTAGAGGAGGCCTTAAGAAAGGCTGACCATTACCAAAATGTGAGCCACATCCCCTTTCGAAAAAACGCTTGACTTTCAGAAACTAAGGACAGAATGTGGAGCTTGCACCTCGCAACCCCCGTCGAACAGCGATTTTGATAGTGCACATTGGTTGTCAAGCCTAAGTCTGAGCCCAAACCATAAATTTTGAACGACCACATTTCACACGTATGCACCAAGTCAGGAGAACTTCAAAGCACGATGCAAGAGACCGCGCTGCTTCTGTGTATCACACAGACAAATGCGAAGGGCGTACCTGTGTTTCCTGAGCAGTCCTATTCCAAAAACGTGATATGAACCTGCTGCTCGTCTTGCGTGTGAGAAATTGGAGAAGATTGGGAGGTTGCTATATACATACTCATTCTCGCAGGCCTTCTGCGTGCACTGCTGTGTTTGTAAAGGCGCCCTCGCCCTCCTGTTTGACAGGTTGAAAGGGACGTCCAATTCCAATTTCCAAGTCTAAAATCCAGCTCAGGGGAGGGCTTGGCCCTGGACATGTTTCTGACATTGTGAATTTAATTTGCAAGATCGAGGGAGTGACTCCGAGAAGATCCTTTCCTGCACTTCCTTGGATCCGCTGCTTTATGTGTTCTCTCGACAACGGAACAAGAAGCGGTCACTGGCCGGGGAGTCGGACTCGGTTATTGCGTATCAGAGGCCGCCTGTATTCGATCGGAACGTCCGACCGGGTCAATCGATGACGCTCCGTTCTAGGGGTTCCGCTTCCGTTCTGTAGGCGACGGTTCGCCTGCTGATCGCAATATTGCGGCAATTTGCAATCTGCAAAACTGCTGATCAGAACCTGCCAGGCATGCATGGCGAAATACTAGGTATGGGTCTACATTCAAGTTCAACCCGCGCATCAATTGGATGAAAGCGCCTCCATTGTTTCTAGTTTAGCGTTTGAAAGGACCACAGCCTCGCGAATTTGAAGAGGAGAGACAGGCATGCTGACGAGTTGATGTGGGAGCCTAAGTTGTAATGAGATTCTCCTTGTAGGAAGAATTCCGGTGAAAGAAACTGAAAAGTTGGACGGCTGCAGGACATTTGTTGCAGGGACATGGGTGTGAAGAGTCCCAAAAAGAAAGGCGGGAAAGGGGGCAGGGCAACTTCCGACAGCGGGCCTGCCAATGAGCACCCTGCAAGCGGTGAAGCTGCGCCTGCTAATCATGTTCAAGAGAATCATGTATCTCAATCTGCTGACAAGGCACAGTCGCAGACTGAGAATGGACCCTCTGCGGCACACGCTCCGAATGGATACCCAGATGTCTCGGAGCTGTCGAGCGAGGAGCTTCGACGAGCAAGGGATGGTTTAGAAAACCTGAGCCTGAAAGATGGGGTTAAACTTGACCCTGAGGGGAAGGAGGCAGTGGCGTTGGCCGAGACGCTGGTTGACGTGGGGCCAGCGGCCGTGCGGGAGCACTACCCTGAGCTCTTCGCAGAGCAACGCGACAGGTCTGAGTCGTTCATGGTTGAGGATTCAGAGTCAGACCTGCGAAGCTCAGACTCGGAAGATGTTTCGGATGAGGAGGCATCTGCGAGTGATGCGTCGGAGGAGGCCGGCCACGAGAATGGAGGCAAGAAGAAGAAAAAGAAGAAGAAGAAGAAGGTAGGCCAGGCATAATCTAGGGTTTGGGTATCAGAACTTGTGAGATTCTCAGTCTGCAAGGACTCCATGCAGAAGCAACTGCAATTCTTGCCAGTCTAGAATCATCAATGCAGGTCACGGCGTCTTACTTTGTTGCATGCATAAGTAGGGTGATCTATTCAAAAATTGAGACCTCAACTTGTCCGATTGCCAGTGGTAATCTACTAGCGACAACATGGCACTTGGCACTTGCAACCTCCAGATTGTCTCCGACATTGATAGGATTGGGATCCCCAATTGCCGCAAAGGACTACCTCAGTGTGTGGATGACAGTTGTTGCAGCTCATTACCAAGCTTCCGGTGGCTTGTTGACCAGTGTCGTAAGCTCGTGTTGCCTTTTGCTGACTTAGATTGTCAGGTGTCAGCTTTAAAAGGCTTTCGCACTTTCGCACTTTCGGCAGCTCATGTATCACCTGCGCCTATTCATAAAGAGGTCAACTTGTCTTACCTGCTTATGCGCAACCTCTTCCCTTTGGTCCTGCAGAAGAAGAGGACGGCAAGCGACGCTGAGGTCAGGGCACACCACTCTGAGAATCAAGTGCCCCAGGAGGAAGCCGAATCGAGGCAAGTTGCAGTTGATGTACCGCTTGGAGTCTTGATCATTGAACAATTTCGATGTTGGTAACCCATTGCTGAGCGTTATGTGAGGCCACAGTAATAGCCTCCCGTTGTAAGCAGATTTGTCTGAGCCACAGATTGAGTTTCTGTGCTGGGAGGAGTGGGCAAGGTAAGGGGGTAATGTGGGCTTATGAGGTGGGACTGACATACCAGATTGGCAGTAAAGCCCGCAGACTATCACAATCTGACGAGAGAAAAACTTTGATGATGAGCAGAGCAAATCGGCGCACCATGTCGGAGGTCTTTCAAGGAGCACTCCAGTATTTGCCTCCCGGTTCTACATTCTGTACTACAGGAGCAAACACAACCTGCAAGTTCTCGAAGGCAGCACTCTTGTGTTGTCCGGCAAGAAAGCAGACTATCTTTTCTCAGGAGAGTCCCCGCTGGAAGCTGTTATTAAAACTGGGCGTGACTCTTTTCAGGTACAAGCAGGCTCTCGATGGCCTGCTGGCGAACGATGATGTCATGCTGTGGGTGCAACTAAACCAGTGCCGGGTGGGGGACAAGAAGCTGCGCAAGTTGTCGGACGCACTTTGCGCGAATACCGCCGTAACATCTGTCGACCTGTCGCACAACCAGATCACCGACAGCGGAGTTGAGGTGAGTTGTTTTATGGTACCGTGGTTTTCCTCCCACCTGGCAGGTCTTGCTTTCAGCTATTCGAGGTCCCATTTCAGCTGGCTTTGGTCATCTGGCGTTTCGATTAGCGAGCTTTTCCTACAGAGTCTGAGGCAAGGGAGTTGGGTCATGCCCCAGACAGAGAAGGACAGAGGGTGGCAAGGTCAGCTTGTTCTCGATCATGCGGTTCTTAACAGTTGCCGAGACTGCAATAAATAGCACATTACACCAGGGTGCAATGAAGGTTGCTTTCTGGACTGCTTGCAAGTTAATGACAGCTAAGACTTAGGGCATCTAAGAAGGCTCTCCTTAACAGGATGGTTAGTATTGAGCCCTCCTTCCCCAGCGACTGTTGCTAGGGCCAGCGTGTTGGACACTTGCCTAAAACTTGTGCGCTTCAAAGGCTTGGAGTCAATAGTACTTTGGCAAATCTTATGTTACGCTCACGGAAAGGCGCACCTACAAAACGCGCTCCCAAAGCCTGACAAACTGCATCCACCATGCTCCAGTGTTTTGTTGTCTTCATCTGCACTTTCATCTGATACTGGGGAGCGCCGTCTCATAAAAAGGCTCGGGGATGTTTTTGATCGGAGTCTGGTCAAGACAGGCGCATAATTTGTACCTCCAGGCTCTCGCCAACGTTCTCTCTAGCGGGTGCGCCCATGACCTCATCGCGCTGGACGTTCGGGGGAACCCTCTGTCGGATCGGGGACGAGGACTGCTCACGAAGCTTGCCAAGGAAAGGAAACAGATGAAGGTGAAGCTTTACCTTTCTTTTCCACCACAAGAATGCCGTCCGAACAGTCGACATTCCATGCGAAGAGGTTTGATTGAAGTCTTCTGTTTCTGTAGGACTGCCAACAGTCCTTCCTGGCAGTGGAGAAGTGAGGGAGTCTGGATGCTTACAGTGCTTGATTTTCATTAGACGTCCGGGATGGATATACAACTTACGGTTGCTGCCTTTGGCTATCATTCCTTTGATGGATAGTCGAGACTCTTGAAAAGCTTCAGCAAGGGCAGTCGATCGAGGCAGTGACCTCTAATGGGAGGTCCCAAAGAGCGAAAGCCCATTGCTTTTTAGGCTGACATGCAACGGAGTTTGCAACGACTTCTGGGGTTAAGAGAGTCGAGGCCGTGTCTGTCGCCTGTTTCTAAGCGAGCTCCCCAGTCAGCAAGGGTGTAATCTTCCAAATCAAGCAAACAAATGTGTGTACCACCACTATGTCGTTTTCTACACACGCTTTGCAAATAAGGTCTTGGTTTTGACCAGAATCGCTTGGCTCTTTAGCCCTTCATCTTGGATGCGTTCATCTTGGGTCCATACACATGTAGGTGTATTTCATTTCCAGCTGAGAGGCATACATGTTCTGTACCTCTGAATCTCTTTAATTAAATTCAGTGTTCTCATTGGTTGGGAGGACTGCAGACGAAGCCTGCACACAACTTGATCACACGAAAGCCAACAAGTAACGCCACTGATACTCGGCCGTTCCCCTACGGAACGAGGTCTTCTTTCTGCCCAGATTGATTTTGAGGGTTTCAAAGGTGAAGCCAATTAGAAGGGTGCATCCCCCCGGGTGCCTCGATCCCAAACCTGGTGATACGGGAATGGAAAACTCACGCCTCTTCTTTGAGACTGCCTGTCGTACCAGCTGATTGATCGATCTGTAATCTCTTGCTGATTGGAGTCTCGCTTTTTCTGTCCATATTGATCTTGAGGGTTCCGAAGAGGAAGCCACTTGCAATAGTTACATTATTCCCCCGACTCCCCGATTTCTAACCGGGGGGACGCCGGAAACTCACGACCCTCCTTGAGACTGCCTGTCGGGGCCGCTGATTAGTTTTTGCCTCTCTTGCTGAATAAACGCCTTTCTCTTGTTGCCCAGATCGACTTCTGAAGAGGAAGCCACTTCCAACGGGTACATTCCCCCGGAGGCCCCGGTCCCGAACCGGCGGAACGCTGCAGACTTGCGACCCTGCCTGAGACTGGCCGTTGGTCCCACTAACTGAATACAGCTCTCGTGCTGATCGGAACTTCTCGCTCTCCTTGTCCAGATTGATTTCGAGGGCTCCGAAGAGGAAGCCACTTCCAATGGGTACATTCCCCCTGACGCCCCGATCCCTAACCGGGGGGACACCGGAAACGCACGCCCCTCCTTGAGACTGCCTATCGGGCCCGGTTGGACTTCCCCTGGAGAAGGATGGGACCCCCCGACCAGCGAGGGATCCCCTGGGCGCTCTGGCGCGGAAAACGGGTGGTCGTCGTTAGGGGAAGGCTGGGGGCAGCCGACCGGTTGGGATGAACCGGAGGGGAGGGTGGTGGACGGGCAGCCGCAGGGCAAGATGCCGACCCCGTATGAACGGGTAAGTGAACGAAGACACTGCAAAACAGAAGTAGGATCAGGAAAGCGTGGGGCTTTTCAAGATCGAGGGACCTCTCTGTACAATCATCTTTCTTGCGAGTTGGTGATTTTCCAAAATGATTAGACGTCTCCGTAGATTCCGTTGGTTGTGATCATTGTTATCGTTACTTTGGAGAGGCTTTGTGGGGGTGGCTAAAACATGGAATCTTGTTGAACAGTTTTATGAGCTCAGAAGACAAAAAGTTTATTGCAAAACCTGGAAATGCGGTCAAATACGAAAGGTTGGCTGGTTTGGGTCGATGCAGCGCTTGATGTCATTGGCGAGGAAAACACCTATCTGCTGAAGCTCAATAATCGCCCGTCTCTGCGGCGCCCATTGAATGCCCACCATGATTCTCAGAACCTCGAAACATTTCAGCCCTTCATAAAAACCCTGTCGAAGAGATAGAGGCAGCACTATTCCTTTTTACGTCAAGGTGGAGGCAGCGCTGAACTTCATTCGCGACCACCACCAAGCCGTTGCCTCGCTCGATCCCGACCATCACGCAGTCATTTTTGCCATTCCCCTGCAAATCCCCAGGACCCCGAACCTTGACATTGTAACTTTCCTCCTTTTCAGGTGGAGGCAGCGCTTGACTTCATTCGCGACTACCACCAGGCCGTTGCCTCGCTCGATCCCGACTACCACGCCACCGTGTTTGCCGCTCTCACGGAGAAGCTGCAGGACGCAATTCTCGCCCTTCAAATGGAGTTGAATCAGCACCTCGACAGGATCACGCACGCTGCGTCGATTGATGAGCTCCCAGAGGTAAGGGACCGTTTCTCTGACGTATGTTTCCTCATCTTCGAAATTTCTGCTTTTAATCTCTCGTGTCTGATTCGCTGGTGTAGGCGAGTCGTGCTCTTGTCTATTCTGCATAGGCTTAGTCTCTCGCGTTACGATGGGTAACCCCGTTAGTTCTCTCGGCACGGTTCTGCTGACATCACCAAGCTCGCTTCCCCCAGGGCTTGCTGACATCAGCGAAATGTTTCGTCCAGCTTTTTGCTGACGTCATCCGAACCCTGTTGTCCAGGGCTTTGCTGACATGACCAAGAGCATCCCCACAGTCGTGGCGTTGCTCGACCTCCCACCCCCCGTTCCCTCCGTGACCACTCAACGAAAAGAGACAAACGCCGCTTGCGGGCGGCTCCGGATCACCACCATCGAAGCAATCCTTAGATTGGTGAGGACTTCTCTTAGAGGCAGAAAGAATGTCCTTAGGGTTCAAAGTGAGTGGTCCGCAAATGTCCGCCCGTACCGACTCTTTTATCTGCTCCCGGTTTTGATTGTTTGCTGTGGCGTGCTAAGAGCACCAAGACCGTTGGCGCTTACATGTTAGCGCTTGTCATGACAGCTTTCTTCTGAGGTCTCGAGACTAAACTTGGAAGCATGTAGTGAAGCTTGTTTCAGCAGTAGACACCGTTCGTTCGAGGGTATGAGACAAATCCAGTGAGAAATTCCTTCTTTCAGATTATTTCCCAAGTCCCCCCTCCTCGACGACCAGCTCGCACCCGCCAAAGTCACTGTCAAGGTCTTGGCTCTCTTCATCGCTCCCCTTGGAACATCTCGCGCGGTGCGGTTTAAATTATCCACTTCGAGACCAAATCCCGACACTCCAGAACATACGTTTATTCGTTTGCAGATCATTCCTGGGTCCCCCCTCCTCGACGACCAACTTGCCCCCACCAACGTCATTTCCAAGGTCTTGTCTTTCTTCCTCGACTTCCCGTGGAAAAACGCCTTGCACGGCTCCTTGAAACTCTTACCTCAAGATCATAATTTTACACTTCTGAACTTGCTTGCTTTATTTGCAGATCATTTCTGGGTCACCTCTCCTCGACGATCAACTCGCCCCTACCAACTTCAGTTCCAAGGTGTTGGCTCTCTTCCTCGCCCCACTTGGCATAACGTCTTGCACGCCGCCGCTGAAAATATGCACTTTGAGACCAGAATCCCGACAATCCTGAAGACGCACCATCTTTCTGCAGATCATTCCCGGGTCCCCCCTTCTCGACGACCAACTCGCCCCTACCAACGTCATTTCCAAGGTGTTGGCTCTCTTCCTCGACTTCCCGTGGAACAACATCTTGCACGGCGCCGTCGGGCGGCTCTGCGCGCTCGTCGCGACCCGGCCCGCGTCCCCGCTTTTCCACCAGCTTGTACGAAACGGGGATGCGGGGGCCGATCTCCCGGGAGTGTTGGCGCGGGTCGGAACAGAAAGCGCGGGGCTTCCGATGAGAGATCGAAAAGGGTGGGTTTTGTGGCGAGGGAGTGGGTAACGCAGTTGTGTTGACCTGGTTCAGCGGATAACGGTTCTTACTCTTGGAAGTATTTCATTTTAGATTTGCACTTTCCTAGCCGGTGTTTGCTTCAGTTCAAAGGCCAAACGTTCGGCCCACCCATTGCATCGCTAAAGTGTGTTTTGAAGCCACGCACAATGGCAACGCGCTCAGGGCCTGGTTTAGGGATCAGCACAGAACCCACATGTTTTGTCACGGGTATTTGACACTTGGCCCTAACCCTCTCCTCGAATGGTTTTTCGGTACCGTGGCCCAGCCTTTGAGCGGCGGAAGCTGCTTCTTAAAGCAGCACACGGAGAAACATGCAAAAGTAAGGCTTACCCACGCCATATCTGGGTAGGATTCTGACGATGACTCTTGCCATCCACCTCTTACAGTTACTGCGGGCCAGCCAAAGGCAGTCCAAGCTTATTGCTGAAGCTTCATGTGAAAAGAAACCAACGCTCAAAAGTCTGCACGACCGTGCAAATCTTTGTCAACTCTCGAATATATCGTTGTCTCAGCGCTGACATTTGCCACCAAATTCTACAGGTACTGCGGGCCAGCCATCAAGCTATCCAAGCTGATTGTCGAAGCCGCAGAAAAGGACAACGCGCTCCGATCCCTCCTGGACGCAAACGACGCCTGGTGTGAATACACCCGGCCCGGGGGGCCATTCACATCACTGGCGGCGGAGCAGGAAGGGGACCTGGGGGGTCCCCGACCGACTCCACTCCCAGCCGTTGAATTGGCGCAGTTGGAGATCCCGACTCCTACCATGGAGAAACTACGGCAGCTTGTTGTCTCGTAAGTTGCTCTTGAAAGAGCTGATGATTCGAGGTTATATGTCTGAGGTATGTTGGGGTTTTGTTCGCGCCTTGCTTGCTGCGAATTGGTTGAGGCGTTCTTTCTTGTTTCTGCTTTTTGGCTTGTTTCTTATCGTCATGTGGTCTTTTGTTCCGGCTCTCGAAAGGCCCTCCATCGGTCCGAAGGTGTGACCTTAGTGATGCAGTCTTTGATACATCAAGCAGTACTCAATTGGGGTCTTCTCCGTACGTTGGGGCCATCAAACTTTGATCGATTGGGTCTGTTCCGAGCTTTGGCCGTTCATCTTTTGTCTTGCATCGTCTTTCTTCGGCCCCACGAAGACGACACTGAGGGCGCTGTTCATAGCCTCCACTCAAGGGGAAGAGAAAGTGAAGCACAAACGCGGAAGCAGATAGACTGATTCCAGATATGTATTCAGTGTATCTACCACTTTTACATCATGCACCTTATTCTGCTCTTAATCATTGCCACGATGAGATGGTCTACCTTTTGCTTTCGTCGACGCCTCAGAACCTGAGCGCTTTCTGACTCCCTATGCAGGACCTACTCAAATGCATGGACAGGCCCTTTCGGTAAGAAGAAAGCATGAGTTGACCCTGCAGAACGGTAGTACAGTCAGGGACAGAGGTTGAGCGGAAGACCCTCCAATCAGTCAAGGGTATCTTTCCTTCCGTGGGAGCATGTTGCTTCGGTTTTACTTAAGACTGCTCTTTGATCAAGCAGCACAGACTCCCATGATGGGAACGCACCGGTTGCACGGCGACTTGAATAAAATTTCTCCTTTCTGACGAACTCGGAAGTGCCCCGTTCTTGATCACATGAAATCAGGTGTCTGCTGTCAGCAATCATAGAAGGTCAAGAACTAGCTTGTCATAGCAGCGGACTGCCGTCAAGTTTACCTCCAAGAGTTGCATGGCGGGCACGCGTGGCAAGACTTGGTTTAGCAACATCTGTGCGGAAGGATGGTGTACATTAACTTAGATTGAGGGTATGGTCCGGCTGCAAAAGTTACGGTCTAACTTATTCTGCAGCTTGTTACTTCTACGTGGCCAGCTTGAAAAGCGTTGGACTTTTTCGCATTGCTAGAATTACACCATGCATTGCAATGGTTTAGTGAACATGTGAACCCATGTGCCCCGCGGTCAGATTGTCGACCAACAAAGCCGGGATCATTTGCAAATTTATCAGCAATTTGCAACGCTTCTGTATTATTACCATCAGCAAATGGATGAATTGGATAGACCACTTGTTGTGGGCCGACGGTCCGGTCACCGGGTATGTCCCAAACAATTCGCCCTGCTCAGGAAAGGCGGGTGACCATACAGACCTCGAGTTGAATGCTAGCTTGGAGGGGGACTCATCGGATGGTTCCGACGTCGATCATTGGTCAAAGATGTATATTCAAATTAATTGGGATTGCAATCAGAGTCGCATTGATAGATACATTCAATCCGATCAAGCCTGAGCGCCTAAACTGCAGATCATATATTGCATACCATGCAGGCTAGCTAGCTAAAGCGCGGCTGGAATCATTTCGGACAGGCTTAGTACTGTTGGTAGCTATATAGCTAGCTAGCATATATGTGCAAGCTCAATTGGTAGCTAGCTCACATGGCTACCGTACCCGGCATGAGAGCTTAATTAGTATTATAAGCTAAGTAAGCTCGATCTGAGTCTGTACGCGTACGTACATGTATCATGAGGCCGGCGCCGCTATATGTGCCACCGTCACCGCGCCATGAGCTGGTTGCCAGCTCTGCGTTTAGTAACTTACTCGATCCGGATTGAATGCCATATAGTATCTTGATGTGATGAAGGATCCAAGCGATATGCATAACCGCGGACTGCATGCTAATCAAGCGTATGCACATGCCAGCCAGCCGAACGGGCCCCGGAAAGCCCGGACTTTACTGTCTAGCTATGGCATCGCGGGGCACAACATTGTGCCATGCCCTATAGTGCGATCATTCAATCATTCTATTGACTTCACAAAACATCCTTGCCAAGTAGTTGTAATGCATGTTGTGGCGCGGCCCTCGGATTCCCCATGAGCCCAGCTATCGATCCACCCACTCACAAGGTCGAGTCCGACGGGCTCCTAGATAAAGCCCCAACTGATCAAAGCGCGGCCACCCCGGGCATTACATACTCACTGATATCAAGCAGGCGGCCATATCTATTAAATACTCTGATATCACAATCATCGAATTGATTAGTACGGATGGCAGAGCCGGCCCGAAGTCAGAGCCTCGAAGGGGCGGCCGGAACCAACCTGCCCGCAATTACGGTTCGTATTTCTAAACAGGCCGGGCACCAAGCCCGGCCCTGGCTCGGCTGAATCCCAAACTCTCAGTGTACACTGACCGGATCTCCCAACCTTCATTTGCGGTGAACTCACAGAAGTCTCGGTCTATGAACCTTCTTTCTACAGTAGCGAGCAATATTCTGGCAATGAGCCTGCCGGTACCTACAAACTGGAAGCTCGCAAGTGGGTCTAATTAACACCCAACCTTGTCACTAAGTACAAATCCAAACAGGAATACAAATGCCAGGTCGCACGCAGCGAATATCCATACAACGGCTAACCAGTTGGCCTCTTGATACCTGCAAATCAGTCTGTCAAGACTTACGCTAGCTGATCCGACTAAGATGCTCACTAACATCATCAACAACCATACCTTGTTGGGGGCTAAAACCTTTACCTTGCCCCTTTCAATCGAAGTTTCGTCCGGACCTCGAAATTGCTTGTTTCTAAACCGCAGACCTGAGTGACCCGTTTGCATTCCTCCTTGAACAGACCTGTCCGGTGAACTTTGTTTCAAGCTAATATCCTCGTTTGAGTTGGAGGGTTCGTACTCTGACGCTCCTAGTATTTGACAATCTCTTGAGCAAAGTAGCCACAAGACAGCTATTCCCGCAAACTGCATTGGTACGGCGTAAAACATCTCGCAAACAATCGAAACCCCAACCAGCTTAGCACCAGTAATGACACCTAGAGTACACCAGTATGTCAACTGTAACAACCGCTTTGTCCGGGACAACCGATCATCAATGACCCCTTCGGTAGCTAAGCAACCAGCCACAATTGAGAGGCTAGAACAAGCCGTTCCAACCACATCCAATATGTAGAAAGCGTGGAGCCTTCCAGGAAAGCAGTGGTACCCTATTGCGCCTGCGTTCATGACCCCAAAGAAGAAGAAACTAGAAGCCCAGGAAAACTGGCCCTGAAATTGGGGTCGTTTTAAAAGGGCCAGGCCCAAACCCCATCCGATGATGACCCCCAAGAATGCCACCACAAGTAGGACGGGCCAGCCAATCGAGAGTGACCGGTCAAAAACCTGGACAAAAAGACAGAGGGAATTGTTTAGAATCTGCTCGCGCTTTCGGGCCCTCTCCAGGCAAGATGAGAGCACATAAGATCTAAGCAGAGGGGAGTCACAAGAGCACACACTTCTTTGGTTGACTTTTTGCCAAGTGGTCAGACTTCAAGCGCGTTTCTCCAGACCTTCAAGAAACTCGTTTTAAGTGCTCACAACAGTACCGGCCGACATCGATTGCAGAATGAAAGCCCGACGGGCAGAACAGATGGACGAAAGTTTCGTGACTGGCGCCACTCTTGTTGATCCGGATTCAGCACAAGCACGTACCCAGTTTGATCAATCACCTCATTGCAGTAGTACACAGTTCACGAGCCCGAAAATACCAAACCGCACTTCAAAAAGGCTTCAGAAGTGGAACTTGACGCTCGTCGCAGACGTAAGCTTCTTTTGAAGCTCAACCAGATTGTCAGGGCGTATTCAATCCATATCACAGCGCTTAGGCCTGACTGAAAGTTTGAGAAAAAGAAGCAGTTCAAGTTCCAACAAAACGCAGCTGGCTCGCAGTTTCACTTCTTCCAGTTGTTTGATGGCAATTACTAAACACCCTGTTTCCAAACCAGGTTCTGAGGGTCAAAACTCTGGTGAGACCAGCTGACGGAAGCTCAAACCCTAACCCTAATCTCCCCAATAACCTTTGCAGCTTCCAACATCTTGTTGAGGGACAATAATGGCATAAAACCATGCCTGCGACAGGGTTGCAGCAGGATTGTGCAGAGCCATTTCTCGAACTTGAGCAGCATCCCACTATTCTATCATTCTTGCCCATCTTCAAAAATGCTTGGTACTGACCTGAACGGTGACAAAGGGTTTCGGGCACAAAAGGGCCCCATAAGCTGGAAACACTCTATCCCACAGCCAGGGAAGCCAGTGGCGTGCAATCCGTATGGAGACGGGAAAGAAGTCCTGGGCCAGCTCTGCTGTACCAGACATCCTCTTGCGACGTCACCACCCGTATTCTAGTGGTGGCTCGGTTTTGTGCTTGAGCATTGGACGCTACGAGCTACGACAAACCAAACTCTATCGAGATGTAGAGGTGCTAAGATTGCTCCCGGGAGCCGTCATTTGTTCTTCGCTCTGTTGCCAGCAAACGAGCTAATTGAAGAGCAGTGAAGACATCCGATTCTGAAAGCCGTCGGAAGGGACTCAATACACTGGTGCTCAGGAGAGGGTTCACATTGGACTTTCGATCAACTTTTGCTTTGTTTTGAGATGTACCCAAATGACGTGTGATGACGTTGCACCAGCGAGTTCCGAACTTGGGTTCACATTGGGAAAACCGCTGTCGAATGCATCACCAGTTCCGGCGGGAACCACGTGTTATCACGTGGATGTACAGAATGGTACACCTAGTACACTTTGACGTCATAACTTTCGGCCGAACTGCGTGAGGGTGAATCTGAGCCGCTCTATCGCTCAGTCGGACGTCATAATCGTAAAACATGTTTTCGAAAGGCGGTCGGCGACCGCCTTTCGAAAACATGTTTTACGACCGGACATTTTGGTCCATTCTTCGATGCCGAAAGCTTTTTGATGTTCGTAACTTTGACCGTTGGCAAAGCGCGTTCCGGACCATGACGTGTGCTTCCGGCATCGCAGTAACTCCGTGTTTTCGAAGGAGGATAATTTGTTCCGGAAAGTCCAATGTGAACCCTCTCCAGTTCTGCTTGGGCAGACTCCCAGCAGACTAAGGGG